ATGCTAGAAAGTAGATTTTCTTTTTCCCTTTTTCACAGATGAGGAACTGAGATTCAGGGTATAAGTGACTTACTCATGGCCACACAGCCAGGGGTTGGCCAAGCAGGGTAGAGGCCCAGTCTGATTCCAGAGTCCACACACCTCCTCACTGCCCTATGACAGTGGGGCACTGCATGCAGAAAGAGAAGCACACCGGCAAGGTGATCCCAGCCTCTGGGGCTCCAGGTGGGCCCCTCCACCAGCGTGGTACCCACAGAGGGAGGTGCCCACCGACAGGAAGGTAAACTGTATTTCTGAGGAGGGAGAAAGGAGCTACTACAGCCCTTAATAAACAACTCCTCTTTCCCTGCCCCCCAGATGTGCCCTGCACTTGGCACCCCGCCAGTCCCTTGAGGCCCCCCACACAGTTGCTCCATCCATGGTTGGCTACGCTGGGAATGCGACTGGTTTACTAGGAATAAGAAACTGTCCCCTCACCCACACATTCAGCTTCCCCATTACCTACCACAGAGTTCAGTGAAAGCTGGCCCCTGAATAGCTAATAAACTCAGTCGATGCTGAGTCAGACTGCATTTTTATTGTATGGAAATTAGATCTTAATAAACCCAAGACAAGGGAGGAGGGTATAGCTCAGTGGCAGACCGCATGCTTAGCACGCAAGAGGTCCTGGGTTCAATCCCCAGTTCCTCCATTTAAAATAAATTTAAAAAACCCAAGATGAGACCTTTAAGAAAATACTTACTGAGTGACTTCTTCTGGGGCTGCGCACCCTTTCAACAAATTTGACTGATACATCAATATCACAATAATAAAGACTGCGAAGTACCAAGGCTTCATCTTTAGAGGCTTCCATGAGCTCTCCTCTCCCCACTTGCCGACCTTCCCAGTGCCACCATGTAATGAAGGCTGACACCTCAAACGCTTCCTAAGAGAGAAGAGAAACCCAGGCCCAGTGCAACACAAAGTCTTAAAGCAAGAAGGATTTAGGCTTGACGTGAAGAAGAACTTCCTGACAGGGAAAGTGGTTACACACTGGAATAAGCTGGTGAGGAATCAAAGGGGTCACGGGACTCCCCACCTCTGCTTGGCACTTCGCACGTCCCCAGCTTGGTGCACTCAGCCCAGACGTGGAAGCCGTAGGTGACTCAGGGAATCTTAAGTGGCGGTTGCTAGGTTACAAGCTTCCTCAATGTGCTTTCAGTGTAAGGACTAAAGGATGTCACCTGGCTGGGAGGAAGAGCTGTGGGGGAGGGAGTAGGGGAGATGGAGACAAGCCAGCACATCCAGAAGGAGCAATTAGGCCATGGCCTGGAAGGCATCCTGTTCTTAGTACTTTTCCAAGGATCTGAGTCCCTAGATCCCATGGTCCTTGTAGAGGGTGATGTTTGCAGGACATAAACATTAGGTTAGAATGGAGCCGATTCTGGGGCCGGATTCCAGTCCTTTCCCAATTATGCTGCCCGGAACAGACAGTATGACAGTGGGGAGAGGGCAGTCACTGAAACCCTCTGAGGGTCTGGGCTCCTTCCTTCACTGTAACTGGACAAAAAGCCAGATGACAGTAGAGATGCTAGATACCCTTAATAATGTACAATTCTTTCCCTTGTGATTTAATTGTGATAAAGTGAAAGAATGTTGGACTTAGAATTCACAGACTAGACCCACCCCGAACAACTAGCATGGCCCTAAGTCAGTTATTTCATTTCACAAAGTCTCAGAGTCCTCATGTGTAAAAAGTGGGTGCTAATACCTACCTGGCAACCTTTCCTAGGGCTGTTGTTAAGATTATGAGAGGGGTGGGGGAGTATAGCTCAGTGGCAGAGCTTGCGCTTAGCATGCATGAGGTTCTAGGTTCAATCCCCAGTCCCTCCATTTAAAAAAATTGAGTTATGCAGACATATATATGTACTAAGCATATATATATATATATATACATATATATATATACACACACACACACACATATATATACATATATATATATATATCTCAATAAGCATATATCTGCTTATTGAGCTGTCCCACTAGTGGGATGGGTGGCGACACAGGAAGTCTTGACTCACGGCTTTGGTAGAAGGCTCAGTGGGCAAAAGAGGCTGAAGGTGGGCCCCCAAAAGCCCTCTTGAGGGAGATCTATGGCTTTCAGTCCTCCAGATCACTCTGTGCTGATTTTTTTGTGAAGACAGTTTAAACTGAGGCTTCCCTGTTCCTCTAGGCAGAGCATGGTCTCTAGGAAAAAGTGAAATGTTTGGAGCTTCCTGTGAAGCTTCATTAATTCAGTTCACATTTTTTTGGAATTTATGGGTTCTTATAGAATAGAGAAAACAGAACATAACTTTTGGGGGAGGGTGAAATTTACCCCCTACCCCACCTTGAGTTCTTCTGGCTGATCTAATAATTAAATTGACACAAGACAGATGATTGGGAGGGGGAAAAATAATTTAATTCACATGTACTGAGGTCCCAAAGAAATGGGAGCCCTGAAGTGACCAAAACAGACTGTTTATATATCATTTTCAGACAATTAATTGTGAAGATTTAACAAAGGGGCTTGTGCTTGGGGTCGCAGACTGATGAAGACCAGAGAAGTTTGTTCACTTGGCCTTCTGTGTCTTGAACCCCCTATAACCCTGGTGAGAAGGATGCTTTCTATCTTCTGGGTGTAGGGAGGCTGCTTTCACATGGGAGATTTATTTCCCACTTTCAGGGGGAAAAAAGGGGCTCAGAGTGTGTTTTTAATCTCAAAATTTCTCCACTGGCTCTTTCTCGAGTAACTAACTTAAAATAATCAATATGCCATGTGGTAGTATATCTTGGGGTGGCCTGCTCTGAGCCCCAATACAACCTTCTTCTGTGAAGCTTCCAGAGCTAGTTACTTTGTAAGTCCAGGGAATTCCCCCTGAAAAACAGTGGAATTTCTAAGCCAAGAACTCACGATGTTAAGATGGCCCTATTGTGAGCTGTGACTTCTGTTTCTTACAGGAAGTCATTTCTAAGTGAGGGGCGAAATGTTTGTGCTTGTTCTCAGTTTTCCCTTTTCTTGGTTTTGTTGACAGTAGTTACAGTAGTAATAGAGTTAATAGCGATTTACCAGGCTCCTGCTAGGTGTCAGAAGCTGAACTGAACACTTTACAAATATTATCTCATTTAGTCTTCACAAAAATCTACAAAGATATATCTATAGCATGGAAGGCTACTCAGAACTAAAAAGGAATGAATTATTGATACATGCAAAACTTGGATGAGTCTCCAGGGAATTATGCTGGGAGCCAAAAAAGTCAGTCCCCAAAGGTGACATGCTGTAAGATTCTATTTATATGACATTCTTGAAATGACAAAATTATGGAAATAGGAAACAGATTAGTGGTTGCCAGGGGTTGGAGAGAGAGGGGCAAGAGAAGAAGGTATGGATATAAAGAGGCAACATGAACGGTTCTTGTGATGATGGAAATGTTCTGTATCTTGACTAATCAATTTCCATATCCTGCACTGGAGAGGGTGTAGAGAAAAAGGAACTCGCCTACATTGTTGGTGGGAATGTAAATTGGTGCAGCCACTATGGAGGGCAGTGTGGAGATTCCTCAAAAAACTAAAAATAGACTTACCATGTGACCCAGCAATCCACTCCTGGGCATATATTGGGAGGAAAATACAATTCGAAAAGGCACATGTACCCCAATGTTCACAGCAGCAATATTTACAATAGCCAAGACGTGGAAACAACCCAAATGTCCATTAACAGATGACTGGATAAAGAAGATGTGGTATATATGTATACAGTGGAATACTACTCAGCCAAAAAAAGAATAAAAATGCCATTTGCAGCAACGCGGATGGACCTGGAGATTGTCATTATAAGTGAAGTCAGTCAGAAAAAGAAAGAAAAATACCATATGATATCGCTTATATGTGGAATCTTAAAAAAAAGATTACAAATGAACTTATCTACAAAACAGAACAGACTCACAGACGTAGAGAACAAACCTATGGTTACCAGTGTGAAGCGATAAACTGAGAATTCGAAATTTGCACCTCTTGGGGAGTGATGGAAATGTTAGCTAGCTTGATCGTGGTGGTAGTTTCATTGATGCATACATAAAAAGAAAAAAATTACTCAAAAATTTTCCATATCCTGGTTGTGATATTATTGTACTATAAGCTTTGCAAGATGTTATCCTTGAGGGAAATTGGGTAACAAGCGTTATTTTTTACAACTGCATGTGAATCCACAATTTATCTCAAAATATAGTTTAATTTAAATAATATAAAGAACCTGAGGTTAAGAGTAGTTAAATAATTTCAGAGCCAGAATTTAAACCAAGATCTGTCAGATTCCCAAGCCTGAGAATTTCAAGACTTGACTCTATTCAAGGAAACCAGATAGGAGGACCCCATAAGCCTGGCAGTCAATCAGACCACGTGGCTTACTGATGTCATGGACATCTTTGTTACTGAGGACTATTTTCCTGATAAGGCGACTAGAGAGTGGCTTGCAAGATTTGGCAAGCCCTGTGGGTTTGTGCTGAGGGCCAAGATTTGATAACCAGGTTTCCCCTTCCTGAGGTGTGTAAAGAAAGGCAATGTGAGAGGGACCACCCACGTGTTTGTCTTTCTGTGTTTGTCTCTGGCTGTGTGTCCGCAAAACTGTTCATTTGTCAGTTTCTCTGTGGATATGAGTATTTCGGGGGGTGGGGGTAAGATGATGTGTACGTTATGGATATATGCGCAGGTCGGTGTGTAAACTGTTTGGATGCACCTGTGTCAGGTCTGGGTGTGCCACACCCACAGAACTTGTTTCTATTAGGTTAAACCATTTGATAAAACCTCCCCCAAAGCAAAGCCGACTATTGAGCCAGCCCGTCACAAAGTGGGTCTGTGTACTGCAGATAAACTGGGTAATTGGACTCTCCGCCTCCTCATCCAAAACAAACACTCACAAACCGCCCACCCCCACACTGGAGGGAGTCTGGTCCCGTCATCTGGGTACTTGGCGCTAGTGCCCGGCTTTCCCTGAGCGGGAGACAAGGTGAGCGTCTACGGCCGGGCCCTTTCCCTCCCCCCGCGGGCCGGGCGCCGCCAGGGCTTATGTAAAAGGGTCGCGGCTCGCTCCGCCGCGGGGCGCACGCGGATTCCTGCACAGGTGTGGCGGCTGCCGGCGGGGATGTGCGAGGAGCAGGCGCGCCGGCCTCCCCCCAGCCCCCGGCGGCGGCTTCGCTTCTCCTTCCTGTTGCTCATTTATTCTCCTCATCTGCATGTGTGACGGCGGTGTGCGGACTAGGGAAGGACAGAGTGCCCTCTCCCCTGCTGGCCGCGCCGCTCTCGGGTAATGCGCTGCCTGCGCCTCGCCCCCGCGCTCCTCCGGCCTGGCTGTGTAAGTGGCGCGGGGCGGGGGCGGGGGCGGGGGCGGAAGATCGCGGGGATGGGGAGCTGGGAAGAGGCAGGCGTCGGCGCCGAAAGGTGTTAACTCCTTGCTTCACCGGGAGGCGGCCGGGCACCTGGAAGCCCAGAACGCCCCCGGCCCCTCGCGCGCTCCGCTGGTTTCCGACCAATCGGCGGGGAGAGCCACGGTGGACAAAGCGGGGCGGGCGTGATGCTGCCGCGGGGTGGCGCCCTCGCCGCCGCGTCTTCCCTTGAAAGTTGGCGGGGGGCTGGGAGCCCGCGCGCCCGCCCACGCCGGGAGCCCAGGGCTCTTGGCCCTGGCTGCCCTTGATTCGCCCCATTCCTCCTGCAGGGCCAGGCGCGGACGCCGCCGGACCGCTGAGGCTTGAGGGACGGTGAAGCGCTGGCCGGCGTCGGGGCCCTTCCTGGGGGTCGGGCGGGAGCCCGCGGACGGGAGCGAGATGGAGGCGGCGAGAGGGGGCGCGCAGTAGCCGGCGGATCCCCAGGTTCGCACCTCCCCCGGCGCCCTGGCGCTCGGCGGGGGCGCGGCGGGCGGGGCCCCCGGGGCTGCCATGGAGGTGCCTAACGTCAGGGACTTCCAGTGGAAGCGCCTAGCGCCACTGCCCAGCCGGCGGGTCTACTGCTCCCTGCTGGAGACCGGGGGGCAGGTCTATGCCATTGGGGGATGTGATGACAACGGCGTCCCCATGGACTGTTTCGAGGTCTACTCCCCTGAGGCCGACCAGTGGACCGCCCTGCCCCCCCTGCCCACAGCCCGGGCCGGGGTGGCCGTCATCTCCCTGGGCAAGCGGATCATGGTGATCGGGGGTGTGGGCACCAGTCAGCTGCCCCTGAAGGTCGTGGAGATGTACAACATTGATGAGGGCAAGTGGAAGAAGAGGAGCATGCTGCGCGAGGCCGCCATGGGCATTTCCGTCACGGCCAAAGGTGAGTGGGGCCAGGGCTGAGGGAGGCAGAGAGAAGGGAGTGGGGGGGTCAAAGGGAAAGGGAGTGATGCCGACACTGGGTTGGAGGCCATGATCATATTCCTGATCCCATTTCATCCTTAGGGTGGACACTGAAACTAGAGGCCCGCTTGCCTTATTTTACAGATGGGAAAACTAGGACTCAGCAAATGAGGTGTCTAGTAAATCCATATGATGCCAGAGCTCCCCTCCACCGCACCGGGCTCCTCCTAGCAAGTGAGCAGGCCTGGCCAGAGGGGAGAGCCAGAGGGTTAGTGCAATGTCTCTGTAGGTCCCTTCATTCCGCAGAATGACCAGGCTTCCCACCCACAGCACCAAATCCCCTGAAATCTGCCTTGCAGGTGCCACTACTTACAGACATATATTTGGGGTCCTGAGGATGTTCACGCCATCCTCATACCATCTCCAGGCCCCACTGGGAGGGCTTTGGAACCTGATTCCAGGAACTTCTCCCTACCATCTGCCTCCTAATCTCAGAGATCCTGATGAGTGGAGACCAGAATATTCCTGAGGGTCCTGCCCCTGTGGTATCTGGCCCAGGTTCACTAAGTTCTCAGGGCGGGCAAGTGCTGACCACGTAGCTTTGTGATTCTCATTTCACTCTCTCCAAGCCCATCATTTCCTTCTTTTCAGGCCAGGTACATCCCAGAACATAGAGGGGACCTGAAAGCTCTTTTGCTAAAACACACAGGGTTTTATGGGAAACGGTCCAACAGGAGTTAGGAGACCCCAAGTACAGATCAGAGAGGCTTAGTGGGATGCAACTTTCCCTCCCTCTCCTACAAAAACCATCCCAGCTGCCTGTTGGGTCTCCTGTAGGTTAGAAACCAGTATTTCTTGAGCACCTGCTCTGTCCCTGGCACAGTTCTAGGTCCCAGGGAGGAAGGCAAGAGGCAGAAGATCTGATCCCTGCTGTTAGGAGCCCAGGTCTGAAACCAATGAAGGTGACCAGAGAGAAACTCTAACTCAGAATCCCTCAGGGCAGAGTGGCCAGTGAGGTCTCCTGAACTCCCAGTAAGGAAGTAAGGAAACTGGAAGGAAGGAAGGAAGGAAGGAAGGAAGGAAGGAAGGAAGGAAGATGGAAAACATGGAGGCCCATGGGGAAATAGAGAGGGAGCGGGCTTCAATAAATGGTGCTGAAAAAAAAATGATGCTGAAAAATTAAGAACTAACATTTATTGAGTCCTTACCATAGGTGCTTTTAAGTATATTAATCTCTTTGACCCTCACAACCTGTCTGATGAGGTAAGTGCTATAATCATCTTCATTACAGTGAGAAGTAATATGAGGCCCAGAGAGGTTAAGTAACTTGCCCACCGTTACACAGCTAGCAGGTGATGGTTGAGTCTGTGCTCTTAACTATGGCATTGAGTGGGCTCAACAGTTTACTAAGAATTTACATGCCTTTGTGCCAGGCTTTATACCAGATGCTGGGGCCACAGGTTAACAAATTCTCAAGGACCTAACAATCTATTGAAAGAAACAAAGATTATTTCAGTAACGTGTGGCAAGTGGGGTGATGCAGATGCCATGGGAGGTAGTGAGCCACTGCTGTCAGCCCACCTTACAGTTCAGGGACACCCAGGTGACTCTGAAAGAATGACTAAGAATCAGGTGCAGGAGTGCTGGTGTGGAATGGATGGGCGGGTTCCCAGCTGGAGGTATGCAGGTGAAACAGGACTGAGAGAGGTTGAGTTTGTGTCAGTAAATCACTCATTACAGAGGCCCCATCTCCCAGCCACAGACTGTGGTTGGGATTTTTTTCCTCTCTCTTTAGTAAAATCAGAAAGTAGAAAAAAGTAGTGCTCATCCCTGCAAGGCCCTTGAAGAGTAAAGGCCTGTTAGAGCCAGAAGTAGTGAAACCTGGCGACTAAGAGAGAGAACCCCACGCAGGGATGGGTCCTCGGGAAAAAGAGAGCCCTGGGGGGAGGGCTCTGTCCTTAACAGGCTACAAGGTACTGGGGTGAGGCTCAGGGAATCGCGGATGCCTTGCCCTTCTCTTGGGTGCAGTGTGTCAGGGAAGTGCCTTGAGAGGCCGCCGGCAGCCAAGAGCGCTGGAGAAAGGAGGGGACTCCCTTCTCTTCTCAGAGTGCCTTGCCCACTGCCTGGGCAGGGTTTCATAAAGGGGCCAGTTTGCTCTCCTCCCTCATTCACCCCTAGCCCTGTCCCATCCAGTGCAGGGTGCCTCCTGGAGCCCCCATGCTCTCCGGTGTGTGAAGGAGGATGGCCTTCCTCAGTCCAGACAAAGAAGGAAGCAGCAGCAGTCCAGTGTCCCCCAAGGCCAATGACAGCAGGGCTGACCTCATTTCCTAAGGCTCCCACTAGCCCTAGGGATTTCTAGATCTGGGAGTGCCTGGGAAACAGGCCACTCCTGGGGGCATCAAAGGAACTCCTTCCTCTTTGGCATCCCCTCTGGCTGCCCAGGAAGGAGGAGAATGGAGGGGACAAGACCTGCAAAGGGTGGTCCAGGCCTAGACTCAACCAAGTCTGCCTTTCGGCAAGGCTTAGCATTTCAAGCTTAAGCAAGGGCCAGGCACCAAGGCAGGCTAAGGCATGTAGGCCTGACATGGCTTCGAAAAGACCCAGGCTCGACCATAGCAGGAACTTTTAATGGTGCCACCAACTCATTCTCTGGCAGAGCAGTGGTTGTGAATCTGGTCTGGCCTCAGTGCTGGCATTCAAGGGGTTAACAGAGGCTGGCCATGGTAGAGGATGAGTCTGATGGCCTGTCTCATGGCGTCTGTTGTGTGGTCTTTCTCCTTAGATTACAGAGTGTACGCGGCAGGCGGGATGGGCCTGGACCTCCGTCCACACAGCCACCTCCAGCACTATGACATGCTCAAGGACATGTGGGTGTCTCTAGCACCCATGCCCACCCCGAGATATGCTGCCACCTCCTTCCTCCGGGGTTCCAAGATCTATGTGCTGGGTAAGGACAGGTTGTCCGTCCCATGTCTGTCCCGCCTTCCCTCCCCTGGGTAAGTTCCTATTGGAAGCAGTGCCTGTCTGTGTGCTGAGCATCTTCTGGGCACTGGGGTTTATCATGCCGCCCCACCTCTCAGGGAGCTTCCTGTGTGATCCAATCAGAAGGGGGAACCCAGCCCCAGTGCTCAGGGGCTTACTCTGCTTGCCCAATCCCCGCCCACTCTGGCCTCCAGGGGGACGACAGTCCAAGTACGCGGTCAACGCCTTCGAGGTCTTTGACATCGAGACTCGCTCCTGGACCAAGTTCCCCAACATTCCCTGTAAGCGGGCCTTCTCCAGCTTTGTGACCCTGGACGACCGCTTGTACAGCCTGGGCGGCCTGCGGCAGGGTCGGCTCTACCGGCAGCCCAAGTTCCTCCGGACGATGGACGTGTTCGACATGGAGCAGGGTGAGCCGGGCGCCGGCCCCTGGCTGCCCACCTCTGCTCTGGCTGAATCCCCCACCTTACCCCCATCCCATCCATCCGCCCAGGCCCACTTTTCCAGCTGGGAGTACTTTCCAGAAGTGTGAACACCCCTCTCCATTCAGGGATGCTCTTGGGAGCAAATTCTTTGATCTGTACAGGGCTCCCTTTGATTGGCTGGTTGTTTTATCAAAGCCTTTTCCATCTATTGTCGCTTCTTACAACATCCAGGCAGGGCCAGGTGAGGGAGGGCTTTTTCCTGCTTTTTGTTCACAGAGAAACAGAAGGAGCCGGACTCCTACGCTCTGCCTCTAGTCAGCCTCCTCTCCAGCTTAGAGCCTGTGAGAGCAGAGACAGGACTAGGTGATTCGTTATAAGAGATTACGGTCCCCTGGACTGCAGCACACATGGGGGAAGGTGGAGGCCATGGAGAGTCCTTCCAAACAGTGTTGTATCTGCACTGGGCATGAAGGGTAGATGGAGTGGACATGCTGCCTCGGCTGTGGGCTGTTTGTGTATTTGGTGGGGGTGGTCAGCAGCTAATTCTCTGTATGTCTCCTGCCGCCCTCCGTGGCCTCCAGGGGGATGGCTGAAGATGGAGCGCTCCTTCTTCCTCAAGAAGCGGCGGGCAGACTTTGTGGCCGGCTCTCTGAGCGGACGGGTCGTAGTGGCTGGAGGACTTGGTAAGGATGGAGCCTCCGGGCTGGCACTGTGGTTCAGGTGCTCGGTGGATCCTTGGCAGTCTGCATGAGCAGGAGAAGGGGCTGGCTCCTTGCCCACCACCTGCCTACCGCTTTATTCCAGAGAATTCAAAACGCTCCCTTCCTCCCACCCTGGATGTCGTATCTCCACGTATGGGCCCCAGAAGTGGTCTCTCTGGCCTCTCACACAGGGGAAACTGAGGCCCAGAGAGCATAAGGGACATACTGATAACCGTGTCACACAGGCTTGCTGTGCACAGGTCCTTGGGGCCTTTCCAGGAATGACTGGTGGTAAAAAGTGTGGCAGGGATTGGCCTTGGTCTTCTTTCTCTGACCCGTCTCTTCTCCCTGGATACCAGCTCCATCACGGAGTAGGAGGGCAGTCTGATCGAATACGTTATTCTAATGAATTCAGGATTTGCTGCATGACCCCTCCCGGAGGTGAGCGGCGTTTTGAAGGAGGGACCCCGACATCACAGGGGAGAGATGGGCAGCGTCCAGGCACCCAGAGTTTACTCAGCACGGACAGACCCCCACTTTACCCACACAGGAAAGGAGCTTGATGTGAGCCAGACCACGTGTGCAGCTTTCTTAGGAAAAGGCAGTTGTGTCTAGAAACTTCTAGTAAAAGCAGAAGGTAGGGAAAGAAAGCTTAATCTTGAGGAGATGAAAAGACAGAGAAGGCAGGAAGGGCAAAGTGGCAGTTTGAGAAAAGGGTGGGGAGGGAGCAGTTCCGCAGCCAGGGAAGTTTGAGGATGCTTGGCCTCTGTGGTGGGGAGTGGGGGTTTCGGGGTGACCACCGGCACGGATTGGTGGCTGGACTCCTTTGTGAGATTTGGTCCCCTCGGCACTTTTAGGCAACCAACCCACTGTCCTGGAGACGGCAGAGGCGTTCCACCCAGGGAAGAGCAAGTGGGAGATCCTCCCCGCCATGCCCACACCCCGTTGTGCCTGCTCCAGCATCGTGGTCAAGAACTGCCTCCTGGCCGTGGGAGGCGTCAACCAGGGTCTGAGCGATGCCGTCGAAGCCCTGTGTGTCTCTGACTCCTAGCCGTCCCTGGGCCCACTGCCTGTGTCCTGGATCGGATCACCCACTCTTGACAAGAGGAATGGTCTCGTCAAAGCAGTTTGGGCCGCTTCCCAGGATGCCGGCTCCTGTCAGCGGCCAGTGGGGTCAGGCCCTGGGGCCCTGAGTGACCACTCCACCTCCAAACCCTACCCATCCCCGGAAACTGCAAGGAGTCTGGATGACTCTGCCGGCCCCGCCCCCTCGCCAGGGCTCAGGTGACCTCTGGGGAGAGTCCTCACTTGCTGCTCAGGCAGAGGGAGGTACAGGAGTGCGGGCCACCTGCCCCCTCTGGGCTTACCCCTCCCCATCTGCAGGATGGGAGGTAGGCAGGGCAGTTCTCACCCAGAGGATAGCTCCTTGTAGCTGGCCTTTCCCCGGCTCTGCACCAGTCTGACGGCCTCTTAGGATGGAAAATGGAGAAGGGTTGCATGGCTACCAAACCCCTCTTCCCTACCTTGGTCTACATCCCCTCCGCCTTTGGTGGCCAACTGTGGGCCTGCCCTGGACCTCATCTGCTCAGCAAAAACTGACCCTGGAGCTGGAGAGGCAGACTTGGAAGGGGAGTCGGGTTCACGTGGACTGGTACAGGCCAGCAGCCTTGGCCAGGGAGGACCCAGGCCTCTCGGGGTCCCGATGGGAATGTGATGATGGGGAAGGAGCAGACTTCCAGCCCAAGGTCTGCTCCCCACTTTTCTCTCTTCATTTCTCCTTTGGTCACCCCTCCCCACCAGAGGCCCAGCCCTTTGTCACGGACAGCCCAGAGTGTTTCTGCGTGAAACCTTCTCATTTACACTGTGGCATCAAAATCCACGAAGGATGGACTCATTGCACTCTGGTTAACAGCAGCAGCACAATGATTAAAATCTATATTCCTATCTTCTCTGGCACCCTGGTGCAGGGGTGGGGTGGACAGTGTCTGGATGTATGGAGGGGACCCCATGAAACAGTCCCTCTGACATTCTCAGGCTAAATGGGATTCCAAGCGACCACCTGTTCTTGGCTGTCCCCTCTGAGGACACCTCCACCTTCAAACCACCCCTCCCCCACCAGTCACCTCACTGCTGATAGAACAGCACACTTTCCATCTCTTCAGCGTGGACACCCCTGGGTGTGTTAGGAAAAGTTTGCGCTCATTAGCTGACTTCCTCATCAGATTACTCCTCATGTCTGGCCTCAGTTCGTTCCGCTCAAGCTCATTTCTGTCCTGCCCACAGTAGAAAGGGAGTTGCTCACAGATGTGAAAGCATGAAGGACACGCCCCCTTCTAGCTTACATAGCGCCCCTTTCTGATTCCCAGTTATTTTTAAAAGCTGGGTTAGCACCAAGGGTACAAAGATGAAAAAACTACCTGTCCTGGAGGGGCAGTGGGGGAGTCAGCTGCCCCTCACTAGGCGGTGGTACGGTTCTTTCTCACGAGGCAGGGACAGTAGAGGAATGCCTGTCCGGATCTGAGGGGCCAGGGGAGCCTCCTGCAGGAAGTATCACTGCTCCTGAATCTTCATGGACAAAGGAACCAGGGTCTTTCCGGGAATGGGATTTCTCCCCCCCCTTTCTCTGGGTACCTGGTCTTTTTTCTTCCTTGGGCCCTACGAGGACACTGCCACCTGCTGGCTCAGGCCTTCCTTCCCACCCTGGCATCCTAAGGCCGCGGGCGCCCCCTGGTGAGCAGACTGCAGAGAGACCTCTATTGCTTCCGGATCCCCCTGATTTCTGTTTAGCCCCCTGTTAGAAAAGGGGGCTGGGGGAGCAGATACTATGAGGGATGGACGGCGCGTTAGGGGAAGCATTGCAAAGCCCAGCCCTGTCTGGGCTCCTAATTCCACCTCTGTTCTGCACTTCCTCCTCCCACCCTCCCCAACCCCTCCCCAAGCAGGGCCTCTGCAAACGGGGCTCCCTTCACCCTTCCTAAGAGGAAGCCTAGCCCTGTGTGTAGGGGGCTTTCCAAGCACACGCAGTGGCACCAGATCTATGGATGTGACTGAGGTGGTTTTAAATAGTCGGGGTACCTTAGGGGTACAGCCAGCCCTAAAAGATTCTTCCCCTTAGGAGAATGGGGGACTGACCACTGGAACCTGTAAGAGCCACTCAGGGCTCAAGCTGGTATATACTGAGGACTTGCCTCTCGGAGGTCCATGCTGAGACTTTGGGGACGGCCCACTGAGGAGCATGGGACACAGGGGATGTCAGCAGCCAACCTCACGGCTGTGCCTCGTGGTGCCATGGAGGCCACTCAGGACCTGGGGTCCAGTGGCTTAGCTCCTGGCCCCACCCCCTTCTTTGCCATAGGCCTTCTCATCTTCGTCCCTCTCTGGGAACGTTCCTCCCCTGTCTTGCCTTCATTTCCCGATCTGTAGGACAAGAGCACTGGTGATGCCATTGTGATGCCATCGTGATGCCATCTCACAAGGTGGCGAAGCACTGCTTCCATCCTCAGCTCCACTCCATGGGGCAGAGAGTGTCCTCACGTTTCCCACGTGGGAAAACTAAGGCCAGAAGAGGTTGTATAAGTTGTCCAAGGTCATAAGCTCATAAGTGACTGAACCAGGTCTGATTCCAAACCTTATGACCACAGCGCTGCATTGCCTCAAATGGAGCAGCACGTAGGAGAGGCAAGAAAACCAGTGCCCTGTGCTAGGTAAGGGGTTCAAAACATCAAACCTGGGAAGATGGAGACCTTGTTTCCCAAAGCGTGAGTATGAGGATTAGCATGGAAGGATTGGGAAGGGCTCCCTGATGTGAAATGAGTGTAGAATATTCCTAAATTTACATCCCAGGAAAATTCTCTTCTAGCTCTTTCATTCCGTCAGCTATCACAGAGCATTGTTTGATACACGACACCAATTATGTGTCTGGCATGGCGCTGGATTTGGGATTCCTGCCCTCCGGCAGTTGCAGCCTTGGGAAGGGGACAGGGGACTAAATCTGCAGGTACCATTTGATGAGACACGTGTCAGCCTTTGCTGGTGCAACCCGGAGGCACCCCACCCATGGTGGCTACGGAAGAAGTGAGGGCTTCAGGCAGAAAACAAATCTCCAGCTGCACTCTGAAAGAAGAGAGACACCAGCCAAGCAGAGGCAGATGACCCCAGGCTTTGAAGAAAGAGAGATGGGTTCAAATCATAACTGTCACGTGCCGTTTGATCTTGGGTACTTCGTTAACCTGAGTCTCCGTTTCCTTAGCTGTAAAATGGACACAATAGGCCCTCACTGGGAGGTTAAGAGCTACCTACTATACATGAAACGATTCACATATACAAGGTGAGTGGCTGCACTAGTATTTTTGTTGTCGTTGAGGGAGAGTTAGAGGTGTTCTCATGTCCACCGAGGGACAGCACGCACAGGGCAGAGAATTTACTGAGAAGGGCTGAAAGTGCAGGCAGGGCAGGTCAAGGGCTGCTAATGAGGGCTGGTGACGCCATCTCACCAGGCGAAGCACCCACTTCAATCCTCAGGTCGACATTATCGGGTAGGTAGGACCCTATCTTGCACATGAGAAAACTAAGGCTCAAAGAGGTTCTATAACTTTATGCACATGGACTTTATCCATATGGGAGATTGGGAGCAAGTTGAGGATTTTAAGTGGAGAAACATCAAGACCAGATTTGTGGCACTGAAACATGGGATATTCAGAGTTCCTCTTCTGGAGGAAATGAAGGAAGTAACATCGCCGAGGCACCATGTAACATCAGAAAGAACCCCAGCTGGGGTTGGAATCCTTGGAAAACCATACAGGTCTTCCAGGCCTGCTCTGGAGGAAGGACCATCTACTGAGCAATCAAAGTGCCAGGAGGGTTGGGACCGCAGAAAGTGGACAAATCCCTCCCTCCCATTGCTTCCTTTCCTCCGGAATGTTTTTCTAATGATTTCTTGCATTTGCATTGAGCTTTCTACCCCACAGAGACCCTGTGCAGGGGGTGGGGTACCACTGGCCTCTTCCAACCCCCATCTTGCAGAAGAAGCTGAGACTCAGGAGCCCTGTGACTAACCCAGGGGCACAGTTCACAGTGAGGGGAAGGAAGTCCTGACCCTGCGGAGTGTGTGCGTGTATGGAGGGGGTGGGGTGGTGCAAAATGCACACCTGCCAATCTGAGCTCCACATTCAGAGAATGGCATCCTGGGCCCTAGGGGGCTGCAGAGCAGGACCAAAGCCTGGGGCCGAAGGCCTCCAGCTCCAGAGAACTGGAGATACTCGCTTGGTGAGGTCGAGGACTTGCAGAGTTGCCTGGCAGGAGCGTTGTGCTGGACTTAGACAACTGCAGAAGTGCAGGCACGAGGCAGGGCCCAGGCAAGAGCTGAAGAGGTGGACACATGAAAGGACCCAGGCGGGTGGGCAGGTCAGTTTCCACTGCACGACTTTCCTGGGACGGCCGTAACCAAATACCGCAAACTGGCGGCTTCAAAAACAACAGAAATGTATTTCACAATTGCAGACTTCTGAAATCAAGGGTGGGGGGACCCTCCTTGCCTCCTCCCAGCTCCCAGTGGGGGTCAGCCGTCCTTGGTGTTCCTTGGTTTTCCTTGGCTTATAACAGGATTAATTCCAACCTCTGCTTCAAGCCTTCTCTCCTTTGTGTGTCCAAATTTCTCCCATTTTGTAAGGACACCAGTCATTAGATTAGGGCCTCCTAATCCAGTATGACCTTATCTTAATTTGTTTGCACCTGCAAAGGTCCCATTTCCCCAAAACAGTCACACCAGGAATTAGGACTTCGACATCTCTCTCTAGGGAACACAACCCCACTCAACCACCATGTAACGGGCGGATGGGAGAGACAGGAGGCAGGAGTCCTCTGAGCACCGAGCTGATCCGGGAAGCCTTCCTGGAAGAGCCTGCCATTACAACTGAGCTTCGAGGAAAGGGCGACTTGGGCGCCAAAGTGCACGCAGGAGTGGGGAGTGGTGTGAAAAGAGGTTGGAAGGCAAGTTGGAGTTTGTATAGAGCTTGAATGTTGGGTAGATGTCTTGAGAAGAAGCGTTTGGGGGAAGGGGGGGTCAGTAAGATGCACCTCTCAGACCACACCCCTCCTCACCCAGGGTTCATGGAGTGACAGCAGAGGGAGAGATGATCTCGGAGAAAGGGCGGCGAGCCTCTGACTGCGAGGGCAAACCGTCTGTAGAATGTCCTGTGTTAACATTCTTGTAGAGTTTGCATTCTCCCTCATGATGTGACCCTTTAATGATTTAAACTATGGGCTGTTTTCCCAAATACTCCAGTTCATTTGAGCTTCCCAGCTAGGTGTGGACCTGGTTCAAGGATCCCCCCAGAGCCCATATTCCTGATAACACAAAGCAGTGCCAAGAAACCACCGTCCGCAGCCCAGAGGCCAAAAAGTGCTCCTCATTCCAAGAGTGAGGGAGCCCCTTACAGACGGTGTGAATTTCACACCAAACAGCTTCCTGCATCTCCACCCGCCCGCTCTGGGCCAGCTGAGCCCCGCCCCACATGCACGCACACACACACACACACACTCACGTATACTACCTCACACACCCATACACCCCTCCCTCTTACACAGACATTCCTTACACGCACTCACATAACCACTCATACACCTCACTCTTATGCTTCGCGCTTGCCTCGTACTCTGACAATATAGCTCACGCTCACACGTGCCTTAAACTCTCACACTTACACACTTGAAATACACCTCGCACTTCCACACATCCGCACACACACCTGACACGAATATGCACACCTGTTCACGCACATGTTTATGTGCTCACGCACAGCCTGCACTCAGACATCTACCCCTCACACTCTCGTCCACACGCTGGGAGCAGGTGTCCAGGCGCAGAACCCCTTTGGTGTGGAAGGTGAGTTGCCATAACATCCTCAGTCTTCGCCAGCGCAGGATCATCTGCTCTTAGGGTGTCC